AAAGTTTTAAGGGGATCCGCAGTTTGAGAGGGAAGAAATATATTTGCTCCCTATGTTTGGAAGTGTTAATGAATTCCAGTCTGTGCCATGTAAAGTCAACCCAGACAACCCGGTACTGGGTCCCTATTAATAAATGCAATAGTAATCTCTGATTTCCGGAGAGTTGTCACCCTTGTATCCAGTCTGATGGTCACATGTCCTTAGCCGCAGTGCTGACTAGGAGCTGATCAGCTTCATTGGCCCACTGAAATAGCATCCACATAATGACTGGTGGAAAAACTGTGGCTGCAGAGGGAGGGAGGAGTGGCAGATCAGAGTGAAAACTGTTGTCTGTAGAAGATTGTGGATGGGTGATACAGTGAGTGGCAGGATCTAGGTGGGAGAAGGACTGTGGCTGGTGGAGAAAAAAGAGAAAAGAGTATATTGAAAGGGCAAGACAGAGTGAGCAGTCCTTAGACTTCCCCTTCCAAAACTCTGTTATGCGTGATTATCCCACATATGTCTTGGTTTTCATCTTGTTAGGTTTGTTTGCCATAGGCTAGCAGGCCCCTTGTAGAGAAGGTTTTTGTTCTTTGTTTGTTCTTTAGACTTCGGCCTCTCATGGGTTTTCCACTGGGTAAGGAGGGGAGATTGTGGTCAGAAAAAGCAATTTCTGTAAGCTTTCACCACAGTGTACAGAAATAAATATATCACAGTGTTTGTGCAGGGGGAGCGGGGTTTTCAAAAGCCCCATTGTTGGCCTGACGCTGCTCCCGTTGGGAGTCAACACTATGACTTCAATGGCCGTCAAGTTGGGCCAATGTAGAGCGCTTTTGAGAATTCCCCCCTTTTAAATGCATTTTAGGAAAACAGTATCAGAAATAACAGCAGTCAGTGATTGTATCCTCAGAATATAACAAACAATTCTCACTCCCCACAAAAAGTCACTCCTAGAATACAATCCATATTTTAGATGTACTCACCAGGAGCTGCAAGCTGTGTCAGGGCCAAGCTGTTTAAGTACCACAGGCTGTCACTAGGCTGCCGCTTTCAGTGTAAAAGAACACGCTAGCAGTTTTTACGTTGTTGTGCAAACAAAGCAAATGCCAAAAGAGCAAGATTTTTTGGGTCTGTGTTTAAAGATGCTGTCAGTGTCTAAGGGTCCCTGCTTTATTACACACCCTTCCCTGTGGGCTCCTTCACTTGTTTTAATGTTAGGGTTAAGGAGGTTCAGCTACCTTGCTGGTATTTTGTTAGAGATTTGGCAGCCCAAGTAAGATGCTGTGGAAATTCAATTAGAAATAAAAAGTGAAAAGCTAAAGATACTAGATAGGAAAAATTCCAGTCACCTGATGTTCACATCTCTCATATGGATTGTACTGGGCCTGATTCTGTCCCTTTATTCAGAAGAAAAGCAGCGATTAGTACGGTACTTGAGCAGTGCAGTAGTAAATAGCACACTATCCAAGCTGACATTAGCTAGTGAAGCTTGAAAGAATTAATTGGTTATGTATGCGCCTTTCACTTGCTGAGTCAATGGCTGTCCTGTCTATCTAGGTCACTACTAAATTGCTTAGCCATTCGATGTAATGACATTTACACTGGCATCCTCATGGTACTGATGAAGAAAAAGTCCCCAAAATCATAGGCAGATTTTAGTTTTCACAAGCGTTGTTTGGCCGTCTTTCCTTTGAATGTGTCATCCATAATTTAGGGGAAATATTAATTGCAACAATAGCAGAATGGGTTGGCCTGTTCAGTGATGTAGGCTGCATCATGAGGTATTTTTGACGTAGGCTGCATTTATGAGGTATCTTTGGTGAAGAACAGGGCCTCTGCTATGATGTAAAAATACAGCAGAAGTAATTGTATAGATAGATACTTAGATAGCTCCCTTCTCTAGATGTATACTTTCTTCTGTAATAACTCACTGAAAGAATGTGGCTTCTGTGGATGTTTCTGACTTGAAATATCCCAAACTGGTTCTAGAAAATTCCTTAATCTCTGAAAGGCCGAGTTCAGAAAAGTTTCCTTTTTCTTTCAGAAGCAGCTTTTTGTTTAGTTTTATACAGCAGGCTACTCACCTTTGAGAGATTGCTAGAGACACGACCAGAACCTCAACTTGTGGGAATCCACATAGCTCCGTTGCAGTTTATATCAGTCAAGAATCTGGCCCACAATCAGCCTAAAATATCGCTAGCTTCTTATAAATAGTTACTCACAGCAGCCACTCCACAGAAGCCTTTTTTTAGCTGAGAAATAGTTTCACTATTTAAAGGTGAAGAAAGTGGCATTACATTGAAAATAATGTGTAAAGTGAAAGAGGCTGAGATTGGTGTTCTACCGCTGTTTTCCTTTTCCTTTTTTAATCTCATGTAACTCTGCACTTTGAAGTCAATGGAATCACTCTACTTTTCCTGATGGAGAGCAGAATTGGGCCCAGTACATCCAAGTTTGCACATTCAACCCATGTCGTTTCTGAATCTTCTATTTATTTTCCTATCTCCTTGCCCTGCTTCTCCCTGGCATTTACAAGTGGATTCCAGTGTATTGCCACATGAACTTTTCCCTGTGACATGAAATGCAGGCAAATTTCCTGTCTGCACATAAACAACTTTTTGAGCAAAACAATTAAAACTTGCTTTCACTCTTGGTGTCAAAACTTAAATGTAAAAGCCTTATTTTTCCAGGTTAAACTGGGGTGTCTTCCAAAGGAATCCACAGACAATTTTTTTCAGGCACTGGCTTAAGAGCAAACCGTACGACACTAAGTTTATGTTTACTGTCCAAAGGGTCTGAAAGGGAAATCAAACATTCTTCATATCAGTAGGTAGTAGTCTGCAAACAAGGTAGTCCACATCACCATGTCTAAGGTCAATCTCAGTGTATATAAGCTAAGTATTGTTTTCCCTGGCAGCACCTGTTTGGTATTTCTTCTTCCATTAAACTGATCTGCAGTGTGATCTGTTATAATATTAGGCAGTCTCTGAGCCAGTTTCACAGGGACAGGGCAAAGTTCATTGCATGAAAACTGTGTGAAAGGATACAGTAGGTGCTTGTACCAAGTTTCACGTGGCTGGGGCTTGGAGAAAAATGGAGCAATGACATTAGAGTGCATGGAAATGCAAGCCAACAATAAAGAAGTGAGGAAATTGCTGGCATGTTTGCCGACCTGAAGAGATTAAATTATGAATGTCAAAGTGTGCTTTGTTATGTGTGTGTCCTTAGCAAACTATTGGATGTAAACAAACTGGAAAAAGGTGTTTTCATTTTAGAGTTATCTGTGCACTTAATCTCTTTATCGCCACATACTTGAAGGGCACTGGTTGACGGTGGTAATTGCATGTTTGAATATCAGAGGAGCCTTTCCATCAGAATCTTTTGGTTGGCTATTATTAAGCCAATTATTAAGTACTGTATATTCTACTTCTTTAAATAGGAGTTGAACTGCATAATCACAGTAAAACTTAAATGTTTACTGCCCTCTTTTGGTCAATGTAGATATGACATGAAAAAGATAGCATAGCCGTATAGGTCCCAGGATATTAGAGAGAGAAGGTGGGTGAGGTAATATCTTGGATTGGACCAACTTCTGTTGGTGAGAGAGAGAAGCTTTTGAGCTAACACAGAGCTCTTCTTCAGGTCCTGATATGTGTAGCTTGAAAGCTTGTCTTTCTCACTAACAGAAGTTGGTCCAATAACCTTGTCTCTCTAAAAGGAAAGTAAGGCTCCAATTTACAGTAATTTGGCCTTTTTGCACACAACTCTCATTTGCTCACAAAATATGTGAAACACAGTTTTTATGCCAGAAATTGCTTTTGTTTCAATCCATCCAGTAACGTTTCCATTTTCACAGACATATTATCTGTCTCAAAGACTGTGTTTACAGCTTTAACTTCCATTAGAACATATGATGATCATAATGGTCCCTTCTGACCTTAAAGTCTATGAGTCTATAAGAACGGCCATACTGGGTCAGACCAAAGTCATCTAGCCCAGTATCCTGTCTTCCAACAGTGGCCAATGCCAGGTGCTTCACAGGGAATGAACAGAAGCCATCAAGTGATCCATCCCCTGTTTGTTTGTTTGTTTGTTTTAAATGCATATTCAGCGAGAACTGTGGGAGAAAGGGTTAGAATTTTGGAAATCAAAAGAGATGACTGATGTGTTTGCATTCAGCGATGGCATCAGAGCAGGAATACAAGAACTTAGAACAAATGTTTCGATTTCAATAACTGAGGTTTTAGATTTTTTTCTAGTAAATGTGACTTTCTTATAAATGTTTTTTAAATGGAATTTTAGTAAGTCTTTTTTTTTTACATATTTTAGTAAAGAAAGAATAAGGATTGTTGTTTTCAGTTACTCTGACCCTTCCAAGTGACATGGTGCACTGTTAATTTGGACTGCTTGTAAAACCAATCCTAGGTGTTGTTATATATAACTGGTAATCACATTGATGTTTTCAGATTGCATTTTTAACATGGCAGCTAATCTGGGACTTAGTCCCACCGTTCATTTGCAGATAAAACTCCCACTGCAAAATTGGACTTAATCCTGTGAGGAGTTTGGCATCCTCTACCGCCATTGAAATCAGTAGCAATTAACTGCTCCCATAACACATTTGACTGAAAGGATTAGGCTCCATGTTTGTGTAAGAGATTCTATGAGAATTCCTTTGAAGTACTAGTTTCATAGGGCCAGATTTTTAGCAGGTATAAATCAGAAAAGCATTGTTGATTTCAGTGGAACTACGTGGGTTTACAACAGTTGAGAATCTGGCCCAAAGAATTTATTTCCCTCACAAAATCAATCACATGGTAGCAATAAGCTTTGGTGGATGGGTGGGTTGGTTGGTTGGTTGGCTTTGATGGGGTGTTGTTTGTTACCAAAGAGATTATGAAACTTTTGCTGCTCTATTTGTTTGGGGAAAAACAATAAGTGACTTTTACAGCATTGTTCCTACTGCATTAACCAAGCAAATTGTAACTTTATTGGTTGTTGTTTTGTTCTTTTTGTTTTAGGTGAAGCTTCCTTTTCCTGTAGATCAAATCACAGATCTTCCACGGAATGATTTCCAGATGATGATAAAGATGCACAAGTTAACCTCAGAACAGTTAGAGTTCATCCATGATGTTCGCCGGCGCAGTAAGAACCGGATTGCAGCTCAGCGCTGCCGCAAAAGAAAACTGGACTGTATTCAGAACTTAGAATGTGAAATCCGCAAATTGGTGAGTTACTTGCTGTAGCCTCAATTAAATCTGATAATGGGGCTATCGGTTAAATGATGGACAAATATTCAAAACAATTCCAGTGCAGTTTTTAGTTAATTTAAATTCAATTAGGTAAATCTCAATAACCAATTTACTTTTATTTCACAAAGGCAAATAGCTGAGTGGGGGTTTTTGTTGTTTTGGTTTTGAATCAAAGCAATTACACTTCACCCAGATTCACGCTTTCGTGTATATGTCAGTAGTTATGTCAATCAAAATACCTTATGATAATCTCAAGGGAATGCAGTGCATAATGGGAGGGAGGGAATATGTTCTTAATTTTATTTAATTTCAGTACACAAATTAATTTTTCAGTGATACTTGATTTAGTGTGTCAAGCACTGGACTGGAAATCCGAAATACCACAGGCTCACTGCCTCAAACCAACCCTCTTTATGGCCTTGTACAAGTCACTTAATCTTTCTGCCTCAATTTTTCTATTTGTGAAATTATAATTTTAACATCCTCACACAAGTGCTGTGGAGAGTAACAAGATGATGTCTTTAAAATACTTCAAAAATGCAGTGTTTGTAGACCATGATTATTATTACTATGATGGAGTGGAGCGCTCAAGTGTATGGAATAATCTCCATGTTGAGATTATTTTCTTGCGTTTAGTGCAGGGTTGTTCTTATTTTTTTTTCCTGAATGTTTCAGCTCACCACAAATTATTAACTTCTTAACTTAGCAAGTAGCTTGAAAATATAGCAAAGAAACTGAAAAATCCTTGAGACAAGGAATCTAAATATCCAAAGAAATGAGAGCTACCCAGCAATAACACTAGAAAATCTCTGAAACTAAAGTAATATAGTCCCAAACTCACTGCCAGTTTCATTTCATGGCTATGACCTGATCAGAAAGCCTTGTCTTTTGGTCGCAATAACACTGGCCTGAAAGATGACTTTAGAAAACATCCTCTGTTCTAACACTGCTACCTTTTTCCATAATACATTCCATGACATTTTTTGCGATACAGAATACATTAAAAGAACTAAATGAAGCACAAAAGTTAGGAAATGCCAAAATTAAGGTAGCTCGTGCAACCTTAACTCTGCCCTTTTGCATATACGCATTGTAAGACAGCAATCAATTTCAGGATCACATACTAATTTTTGCATAAGAAAACCAATAGCAAAACTCTCATTGACTTAAAGGCTCAAGGCCTTTATCTGAAATTAATTTGTCACACTGTATACCCCCAGGTGACCAGTAAGTCCCCATTTCTTCATGTATATAATATCACCTGGAGTGCTTTATTTTTTTATTAAGGATGAAATTTTTTTCATTGTCCTTATTTCCCAGATCTCGGCAACCTCCTTTACACTGGTGATCTAAGGATGGTCAACCTGTGAAATGCTATTCCCTGCTCATGACATTGCATGCTTCTCTCACAGACCCATCCATCCACCCACTTGCATTCTCCCTTGTCTGCACACACATAATATACATTTTCTTACATAATTTATTCATCTCAAGATGCACTTGGGCATCTGTTTATTTTTATGTTTTCTTGGTGGATTTATCAATATTTTGGCAGGTGGTGTTTTTTCATGTAAACTGTTCTTTGTCTCTCTCCCATTCTCATGGCTGCATGGAAACTATATGATTCCGATGATGGGTCTGAAGCTGACATAACATTGATGCCCATTGTCGTCTTGCAGCTAACTTTCATACATGCACTTTTTTAAATGATCAAGAGCATCTTCAATATATAGCATGAATTACTGGGTGAAATTCAACGCCCTGTTTAATGGAGGCAGTCAGATTAGATGATCATAATGATCCCTTCTGGACTGAAAATCTGCTTTTCTTTATTTGTGTAATTTCAGGCCTTTTCTTTACATTTTTGCAGCTTTTTGCATTTTTGTCAGTATTTTTCATTAGATAAATCCTCTGGTCTCCTTTAGCGCATGTGTGTGCGCGCATCTATCTGCCTGCACACTCAGTCTATCTACTCAGCCTTACCAATTGTCAAAAATGTATCACCCTGATTCACCACTCTCTCTATTGAACAAACATCTTGCAGATGGTAGCATGCAAGCAACAAGTCCATGAAGAGCAGGTAGAGGACAAAGTATTGCATGTATCTGTGACTTATCCTGTGCCATACAAAATCAGAATGTTGTCTGTAATTTTACAGAGTGGATAAAGCAACATGTAAAACTGGAATAGAGCCTTAACTGCAGTAAGTGGCCTTTTATGAAGCTAAGATGCTTTCTTTCTTTTTCAGGTGTGTGAGAAAGAGAAATTACTGTCTGAAAGGAATCAGCTGAAAGCATGCATGGGAGAATTGTTAGATAACTTCTCATGTCTTTCCCAAGAAGTGTGTAGGGATATGCAGAGCCCTGAACAGATCCAAGCCCTGCACCGATATTGCCCTGTTCTCAGGCCTATGGATCTACCAACAGCCACCAATATCAACCCTTCACCAGCTGGAGTAGAGCAAAACCTAGTGACATCCCAGTGTGTTGGGGAAGGCATGCAGTGCTGCTCAGAGCAAGACTCTGTGCAACTAGGAGCTCACTGGCTACCTAACAACGTCTCCGAAAATTGTACAACCGGAAGAGGGCTTGATGGAGCTGCCCAAGGTACTTACTCAGAAAGAGAGCTCCCTCTAGAACAGAGTAGCCAAACAGTGACAGTAGACTTCTGTCAGGAAATGACTGATAAATGTACAACAGATGAGCAGCCTAGGAAAGATTACACCTAGTGACTTGTAACCTTACATTACACCTGGTCAGGTGTTCTTCAGTCAGCCAGTGGCAGTATTCATTTGTTGTCTAGAAGAACGTATTTGGTGCACACTACAGTGGTCTTAGCAGCAATACTGTTTTTAAGTATTCCCTCCTCTCTACAAGCAGGAGTTATCTTCACAATGGTGCTATCCCTTGCTCAGGCAGGGAATTAAACAGTGGCAACACTGTCTGTTTTTGTATGTTAATTTCAATCTTAACAGGGATGGACATAACACCTCTGAGGACCCAACTGCAGCTTTTTTCTCAGTGACCCATGTCACAAAACCCTAACTCAGGAATTTCCTCTGAATGTTCAATTTTTCATTGAAGACAGCTTCTTTACACATCAAAGTTTTATAGCTAAACTGTACATATTATATATAATATATATAAAATATATATCTCCATATGCAAAAGTCCCTGCATGCCTCAATTTTTCTCATCCTACAACTGGAAACTTTCATTTATATTGTATAAACAAGTTCCAACATTCCTTTTTTGTCTTTAATGCTAGAACTAGTTTGGTAACTTGTTACATGATTTTTTTTCTTGGTTCACAGTTCAGCAATATCATTCAGTTTGTACTTATTTATAAAATTTTAATGTTGGAAGCTTATCTGAGATTTTAATTATATCCAGGTTTTTGATTTTGGCACAGCCATGTTGTGCCATTTGAGCAATGTGGATTTATTTTATTTTCTTGCAGATACTGTACAGTAATGGTCAACTTTGCCACTTGCACTGAGTTTCTGGTCAAACCTCTTTTCATAATGAAGTTGTGACTTCAGTATAACTTGAGTATACTGTATTCTTTGCTTTATAGTTGAAAGAAAATTATAAAGTTTTAGCTAATAGAAAAAACACTCAGGAGATGATTATGTAGGAAGAACAATCTTGCCAAATACTGAATTCACCCTATAATGTGTAAAAGAAAATCTGCTTGAATATTTTTATATTCTTTTTCTTTCCCAAACAAAGTTTAAATGCTGTTAATTATGATTTTGGACTATATGGTAAGATGTATTTTGCTCTTTAATAAAATATAAAAAGTGGGTCAGTCAAGCATATGTTCCTAAATTGGGGTCCAAGGTCCTCAAAGCCCATTGAAGTAAATGGAAACACACCCATCAACTTCAGTGGGTTTTGGATCAGACCCCGAATCTGCACCCTTTCCCAGGCAAGTTGTCGCTACTCAGACGTATAGTCCAATGATTCTCAACCTACTTACCATTCTGGGCCACATATGCAGCTCTCTGTGTTATGTGGGTCACATCCATAAAATATATATACTACCTGTATGGCCCTGAGGATGTCACATGGGCTGCAGCTATATGCTGATTGGGCCACAAGCAGGCCGTGGGTTGAAAACAACTGGTATAGTAGCATTGGTCCTGATTTTGATCTCCCACCAGTTTTACCAGGGTGTTACTCCATTTACTTCAGTGGACTTACTCTTGATTCTCACTGGTGTGAGATCAGAATCAGGCCTATTGAAATCTGACTAGTCATGTAGGAAAGAATTGCAAGATCAGGCCCATAACTGAGACTTACAGATGTTTGCTTACAGAAGTCAAGTGAATGCTGTATACCCTAAGGAGCAAAACGTTACCTGATTTGGTTGCTTACCATTTGAAGTGTTGTGTTATAGAATCCTCTTATTCTACAGCATTGCCATCAGCACAAGTCAACTTCTAAAAGAGTGCTGTCTCACAGGAGACTGCTCAGAGAATTGGCTTAGTTGTAACTGTATTGAATTTGTATCTCAAGTGATACGGTGAAACAGGTAATCAGTGAATTGTGTTATGATAGCGTGGGACAGCAGCTTTCCAAGCATAACATCTATGTACAGCATAGGCAGAAAAACGTCCTCCTAACATTTTTATTATGAATTAGTAGTAATAGTATCAGTATTAGTAGTATTATAAGTGTATTGAATTATATTTTGTGATTCTTTTCCCTATTTGCGCCAGGGTGTGTGGCTAGTACTGAGGCTTTATCCTGGACAACACCACCCATGCTGTACAGATTGACATTGTTCACTCTTGCTGCAAAATTGACCAGCTGGGCACACCTGTTTGAAAAAGCAGCTTTTCACAAGCACTAAGTGACAATAGGTTCTGTTGTGCTAATGTTTACACTACGGGTGTGTCCTGGTGCTCTTTTGAGGCACTCAGTAAATCAGCATCTTTTCCTGGAGGAGGAATCAGCTCCCTCTCTCCTCTATTTTTGTGTTTTGAGATTGTGCTCATGGGCCGTCACGGACTTGCCAGTCTTGCTTCTGCTCTCTTCTCCCAAACGACGGTAGCCTAGCTACGGAGGAGGAAATGCATATAGCATGTGCCATGTTTGTTGAAAAATGTTTTTTCTGCATGCACAAAGAAATTAGTATATAATGTAGGATATGTGATTTTTTTTTAAATCATAATTTATGTTTAAGTATTAACCGTTTCTGTGCAAAATCCTTATCTTTAAATGTTCAGAGATATCCAAATGCCACAAATTCCTAATTCACACAGTTGAAGAAGGGGGGAAAGTCATCCTTTCTTTTAAAAGATAGAGATCTAAATATATTGGAACACTTCCCACCCCCAGCCATTTTGTGCAGCAAACTGAGCTAGAAGCTCTTTCTGGGGAATTTGATTTTCCTTTGAATTCATTGACGTTGCAGAACAACTCTGTGTTTGGCAGAGATGTCTTGTTTCTGTGAGACCATAGTGAAAGCTAGAGTTTAAAACTAAATGTGAATCACATTATAGCATCATAGCTATTTTTTTTTGTCAACTGACAGTATTTTAAAGACTTTCTGTTGCCTTTTTTTTATTTTTAAGTGACCACCTATATAGATAGATGGAATGTTTTATGAGTATAAAACAAAGTTTGAACTAGCATCCTGACATGAAGATTTACCCTGCTAACGACTCATGTGCAACTGGTACTCTTGACCTCATTCCAACGGTTAAAAACAAACAAACAAAAAAGCCACCCACAGAACATGTGCTGCAGCTCTTGGGATCGACCCGGCTCATTCTGGTGCTGGGCCTCCTGATTTTCTTTTTCATGGGAACTGATATTTAAAACCACTGCTCAAATAAGTCTCTCTCTCTCGCTCGCTTTTCAAGCTTTTCATGATGTTTGATTTCATTCTTCACCGTTAGAAGTGACTGATTTGTCATTGCTTCCTTGACCTGTATTTACGCGTATATGTTTTTGCTCTTCTGAACCATGTGGCTCTCAAAACTGTTATTGGGTTAACTTTAAAGGGAAACATCTAGGAGAATTAGCTTCAGAACTGGACATGAGTTGAAATAAATAATCTGATATTAAAACAGTTGACCAAAAATCCAATTTTAAAAAAAAGTTAACTACAATATTTAGCAAATTAAGAGGTTTAGCCAACAAAAATGTATCTTTTTAAATAAGGATCATGCAGTTATTCATGAAGAAAGCTGCAGTTTCTGGTCTCTAATGTATTGCTTTGAAATTTTGTGCAAGATTGGGCCGGGTTGTCATATTGAATGCTGCACCAATATAGCATGAGTGTGAATTCTTGAGCCATCTAGCTTTGTCCAGTACATCTAGTTCTCCTTTTTATTTACCTTTGCTATACTTGTATTGCCAGAAAACCTCATTTCATTTAGGCTTATTATACTTGTGTCAAATGAGTACTACACTATATAATGTATTTGTTTCTCTGCGTTATCTGGAGGTGCCTTGGAAGTAATTAAAGTTCATTAAAAGCTGATTCTGGAACAAAGAGGTAGCGGGGAAAAAAAGGTCAGCCATGTTATCAGGACATCTCAGTATTTATATCACAGACTTCCTAACATATGATGACTCAGGCGTCAGAGTTTGATGCTGCAGTATAAAACTATTATTTTATATATTGTATGCGTAATTTATTATGTCTTTCTAAGATATATGCTGCTTTTAAGATGCACTATATTTTTGGATCTAATCCTTGTATTCCTCCTCCCCACCCCCAGGAAGTAAAAAATGTTGTGTTGCAAAGGCAAACCACAGTGATTAGTACGCCAACTGCTACCTCTCTTTAAAAGGGAGAGTGGGAACTAGATAAAAGTAACTTTGTCAATAAAGAATAACTGGCTGCCAGAGAAATTATTAATGCTGATAGTATGGTTGTTAATCCTAACTTCAACACTTTGTTGAGTCTTTATTTTAAAAAGCTTAAATAGAAATGCATATTTGTATAGTTAGATTTTTAATATTTAACCTTATGATTGCCAATGAAAGAAAACAAACCTGTATGCTGGAGTTGGCATAATCCTATAAGAGAAAATTTGACCTTTTAAGGAAAACATGATGAAACACTGTAATTCCAGAAGTTAGATCACATCCTCACTGGTGTCATATATTCCATTGCTGTTTATGTTAAAATAGAAATAAATCTGGGATTAGAGAACAGAACTGTAGTGTATTTTAACATAAAACATAGGGAATATTAGTCAAGCCTACACAAGCTTGCATTCTAATCTACTTCAAGTCCTCCACAGTTAAACTGATTACCTTGATTTAAATGAGGAGCAATCTTCATCTCCTTCCAATTTGAAATACGTTTTGTGATGATTTGTTAGCAGGTTCCATAGTCTACATTTGCATCATTTTAAATGTATGTCTTTTAGATTCTGTCTAGAAAAGGTTTAGCTTCAGTAAGAGCAATGGAGTTGATGATGTAGCCAAGAGGATCTGCTGAGTATGGCATGTCTTAATGTTTCTAGCTACACCTTACTTTAGATAAAAATAACACAAAGAATTTATATTCTGTTGCCTCCTACAACATATAATGTGTATTTTCTCTACACATCAAGGTTGTATTGTAGTTTGTCTCTGCCAAGGCAATCCAAAACTTAGTTATATATGTAATTACAGTTAGTGTGTGTATGTTCACCTGTTTATAATACATATATGTAGATTTATAATACTGTTTGAAATATTTCATGACTCAGGCATCAGACTTGATGCTGCAGAATACAATATATGTGTATATACATGTGCATTCAAAAAGTGACTCTTTATATAAAAAAATCTATTGTTGGTGGATTGTAGAATAATAAATTATTCTCTTTAGTGTGAAAGATATAATGGCATTACTTGCAATGACAAAGTGTACAGTATTTTCCTACACTCCACCAAGATAGGTAGTATTTATATCAAATTTTTTACTGTAATACACATATAATGCTGCCATTGGGCAAATAAAATCCCCTTTTTTGGCAGTGAGGAATGCTTAAAATGCTTTTTTTAAAACTGTGACATAATAATTAGCCAAATCAAACAATAGGAAAAATAACAGTTGGGTAAATCCCATTCTTATTCCAGTTTTGTTAACTTTATATGAAATAGCCGTTTATGTAGGTGTAATCCACCCACATGATTAAAAAACACACATGCAATGCCGAAATTGTCGCTTTGGGCTGATTACGGGCATACAGAAAATAACTGACTTTGAAAAAGTGGATAAGACAGAATTGTCAGTATTTGATTTTGTCCACTTCTTAGAACTGGAGATGGCTCCAAAACCAAACGGGGATGCTTGGATCCACAGACTTTTGGGAGAGTCCAGAATCTGAACTCTGGGTTTCGCAGCTGAACCCATCACTATAACAGGGCCAAGCCAACAACCCTAAAGTTTATGGTGTGATGGGGGAGCAATTTCATTATCTGGATTGTTGTTCTCTCTTGGACCCATCATATTTAGAACACTGCATTTTCCTGAGACAAGGTTATCCTGCATTTGTACTATAACTGAAAGAATTGTATGTGTTTAGATACTGTACTCGCTACTCATGCTCTGACCGAAAGTATCTGGATCCTTCAGACTAGCAGAAATTATACTAAACGCTTTGGTGATCTTCGATGCTTGTTATTTGCTATTAATTTCAAGCATCACCTTTTGATTTCAAGAGTGGAATTGCCCTAAGAGTTTGTTCCAGAACCAGTTGGATACAAGTGCACCTCTAATATATGCCTTACAGATTTCAGAGGCCATATTCAAAACAGGGTTTTATCCGTGTATGCAAGGGGGTACAACCCCTCTTCTCTTCCTCCACAGGTCAAACAGTATATGGACAGTTTTCACACATATCTACCTGTATAATCCTCTGTACCTCTCATAACTGGTCAATGACTGTAACAGGTTACATCAGGTGTTTTTCTACATACTTTTTACACAGATTCTATGCGATTAATGTAACTTAATTCAATGCATCATTTTATTGTACTAGTTCTTAAGCTTGTCTTTATTATTTTTTTCTAGGTGACTGTGGTTTCTTGTGATTTTTATTGTATAAACGAGATGGCTGTTGATGCTTATTCTCTGTTACTAAGAATTTTTACCTTTTTGGAAAAAAAAGCATTGTTATGAACTAATGAATTTAAAACTTCATTTACTCATTGTAAATACAGTATTGTGCAAAAAAAAAAACTTTCCATTCATTTGAATTGCTAGTGTTAACTGAATTTTGTCTAGACACCATTTCTGTTGATGAAATAAAGACATATCATTATGTATTGTATATCAACTTTTCTTGCCTCTGAAATTAATGTCCTATTTATTAATGCAAGAGTAATGGTTAATTTCTGGAGGATATGGGAAACATGGTTAATCTTTGACCACATGACAAAACCTCCCCCCGTTTAGGCTGAGTACAGTACGACTGGTTATCTGTACTGCAGGCAGGTCCATTGCAGGCAGGGCCAGCTCCAGGCACCAGCGTAGCAAGCAGGTGCCTGGTGCGGCCAATGAAGAGGGGGGCGGCATGTCCGGCCGTTTGGCGGCAATTCGGCGGCGGGGCCGTCACTCCCTCTCAGAGCGAAGGCCCTGCCGCCGAATTGCCGCTGTAGAATGAAGCAGCGGTAGAGCTGCCGCCGATTGCGATCGCGGTTCTTTTTTTTTTTTTTTTTTTTCTTGCTTGGGGCGGCAAAAATGCTAGAGCCGACCCTGATTGCAGGACTACCAGAGGTGTGTTGATGTAGGACTGAGTGTACGGAGTAACTCTCATAACTATATTCCCATAGTACTGATTCAAGCTAGTTCTCATCCTGCATTCTCAACATCACTTAAGTAACCACTGTATTTTTTAACAAAACCTAAGAGAAAATAGAATTGTTTCTATGGAAATGCAAAACAAAGCAAAAATTCCAACCCAGAACAAACAAGCAAACAAAAATCCCTGCAGCATTTGCAGCCCAAACATTGCAGCATTCCACTAATGAATGGAAACCTGGAAATGAGTCTGGCTCATGTGTTAGCATTGTTCAAGCTGAGAGGAATGCAAAAAATAAAGAGCGTAAACAGAAGAAAGCAAATTATATTGTTTTAATACTGTTAAGGTGGTGGTAACTCAGACAAGGAAGTTTAATGCGTTTTTTTAAAATCTCCAGGCTGCAACTCCCTCCCCCCCACCACCCCCCGCCATCACATTAAGATTGCCAGAAAGAAGGGGATAGCAATGTGAGCTGCCTGCAATCCCAAGTCCATCTGGAGGCCGGGAGCTGGCCAGCACAACCCACAAAAGCCTTGATTCAGTTTGACTTAAGAGCGTGCTCAATGCTTTGCTGAATCAGGGCCAAAGTGGGTGTGACCTAGCTAGGCCCGCTGGGAGATGCACACTAATTCAGCGCACTGCCCAGGAAGCCTCCTTCGGGGAGAGCTCCTATAAAGCCATAGTCTTTTTATAGACAAAAAAGTACACCACAGACTGCCCAGCTTTGAGGATAAATGCCTCTGCCAGTGCCGCTGCCCCTGGAGATGTAACTTGCACCCTTTTGCTTCTACAGGACTAAACCTGGCCTGTGAGTTTTAAACCAGCAGAGTCCTTATAAGTAAAATAACCCCTCTCCTTCAGAAAAAAAGAACGGTGATACTACACTCCAGAGTCTTGCTGGAAAAGCTGGAACATACATCAGCAAAGGCCCCTTTCCTCTCAAGTTTGTCAGAAGATACTTCATCATTTATATCTCCATACAGCACATACTCTACTCCCTGTCTATAGTCAAGCTTTGTTTATCCATCCGTAAGAAGTCACGGCTGCTTCTTTAATGGCTGGGGTTTTCGGTTTCATTTTTCAAACTTAAAAAAAAAAAAAAAAAAAAAACAAAGCAATAAGACTTAACCAAACAGTGTGTAACTAGAGG